CAGCCTTGAGCAGCCAAAAGTTAACTCTTGTGCCAAACTAACATTAAACATGAAACAATTGAAGCAACAATCACTTTATTTAGCTTTTTGTCTAGCTTTAGAAAGGACCAAAGCAACGCCAGTGTCACCTCCAAAGAGTGGGACCCACTCTTCACTATTTGTTTAATGTTCCCTTTTGCAGAAAAAAACCTTTACAGATGTTATATTTTGTGTTGACTTTTTGATACCAGCCCCTTAAATTTTTAATATTTTGAACATACTCCCTCAAATTATTCAAATTGCTACTAGGTCCCCCAATTTTTACATCTTCTGGTTGCTATACTATTCATGATTTCAGAGTTGAAGGATGACGATCAAACCATATTTTATAGTGTTCACATTTAATTATACTAGAACCTTTGTATCGTTTTACTTATGGAGAGCAAACTTTTTACAGTTAGTCGAATGTAAAATGATTTAATCTGTATCCTGTTTGACTTTATTTGTTATCGGTGACGATGAGCCCCCACTCCTCAGCTAAACGATCCTAGACTCATTCTTGAGCCGAAACCCGAAGGCCACAAGTCATAGGCTCCACCCACACACAAAAAATAAAAAAATAATAAAAAAATAAAAAGAAAAGAAAAGAAAACACACACACACACAAGCAAAACAACCAAAATAAAAAAAGGGTTTGAATCCTAGCTACGCTCTTGTAAATGCTACTAACTAATATACAACTGAATCTTGTTGATTTGTTCCCTTTGGTTTGTTTTCATTAAGGTTATTTTATGTAATTATATTACGTTGTGTGTACAGTAGAACAAAATGTGTTCCCACTGCGCATGTCATAACTTTTTGTACAGGACTGTGCTAAGCTTTGAAGAGTGGACATGTTAATGAGTTATCTTTTGTGCATGCTTGCAGTGCTACCATTTTGTTATAATTATCAGAAAAATAAATTATATTGGAGCTTTTGTAAATTACAGGCTGACAATTCTGAAGCTTTACGTGTGGACCTTGCTGTGCTTGATCAACATCTTGTCGAGGACACTAGGAAATTGAAGAGCATGTTTCCAAGTTGGGCGGACATCATTGCGGTTTCAACATTTTCTTCAAGTTATACATTCTAGAATAAGAATTTTAATCATTTGTTATTAATTTTAGCTTTAGTATATATATCATTTATTGTTTGTATAGGATCAACAGTATATACAATTTCTGGTTTTCTTGAAGCCGTGTAGACGATTTTTATTTGTATAAAGAAAATTTCTTGACATTCACAAACAAAGTCGTGGCCCCCTCTTCGGCTTTGCTGGAATCCTTTGGTTTCGATGTTTTGGGCAATTTCCTCTAAATGTAGTCATTTCTTTCAATACTCACTCATTGTTGGTTAACAATTCCAATGGTTGGATTGTATGCTTAATTCTGATAGGAAATAAAATAGTAAAATGATTATTCATCGAATGACTATTCATCTATTATATTTTCATCAAATAGTGAGCATGAGGACTCTATGAAAAAATGGTGGTCCCGCAGCTTCCGCCTTGACAGGGCGGTTCAATTCGATGTTGAACTAGGAGAAATTAGAACATAAGTGTGGGCTAAGTAAATCAATGGATAGTCTTAATGCTGTTGGACACACCAGTGGAAGTGAAGAGCCTATTCTAAATGATACTAGTCTCTTTTGCATAAATGATAAACCTCGACAAATTACGAGCATCTCTGTGGTTTGATCGCTTTAAACTAGAATCCATGATCCAGTGTAAAGCAATTTAAAAGTTGAAAGTTGAAAGTTTTAGTTACTTTTTTCATTTGGGGTTCCAGAAGTTGTAATTGAAACTGCGCTCATTGAGGGTGTTTAGAGAAACCTGATGATGATTAGTTTCTTATAATTATTTAATGTAGTTGGAAATGCAAACTATCCAAACAAAGCGCTTCTGCCCTAACTACAGTAGATTAGGATACAATGCTGGAAAGAAATTTGTTTTTCATTAATATACAGTGAAATTAACAGAAGCAATGTAAGAAAAACTGCAATAATTACTGGTGTACTTCAAAACTTCTCAACACTTGCATGTATTTATGGTTGATTCTTCATAACCGACTGCTTGAAAATAAAGCCAACTACTTATATAATGTCACTCAAAAGCCTACCTAACAAATCTCTCTTTCGTTATCTAACGAAACAAATGGCAACACAACGTAATTCCACTTCATAAGGCTTAAGAATTGCTCAGCACACTTTCATAATTTTTAGACCATGATACAAGAAAACATGCAACAATTCTCAGTTGTAACAATGTGTGAGGTTTACAGTGAATCAATTCAAAGTAATACAATAAATATAAAGGACTTGCTACTCTAATCTTTCAGTTTCAAACACTACAACCTTCCGAGATTCATGTGCAACAAAGGAGCGTTGTTAGAGACAACATTGAAAATTATCAATCACACCGCTGCGCACAAGAAATTTTACATGGACGAAAGTAGCGTAGCATAGTCCCAAACGCTTCAAGGTTGCACCGCCTCTAGAAGCTTCTCATACACCTGCCTTGCAGACATATCCTCGACCTGGTCCAATAATGTAATATAATTAGCATAATATATTTTCCGTCTTTATATCATTATATATCATCTACCAATAACTTCCACAAATTCATTTTAAAAAAATCGAAAGAAAATAGAGTGGACAGAGAAATTTTATAAATACTCAAAAAAGAAAAAAAGAAAGAGGGAAATGTAAAATGAAACAGATGTTTGTCAAATATCTTTGGGTAAATTTCACAAAACACCCCATAAGTTGGTCATTTCCACATAATATACTTTGAGGACAAATTTTCAAAACCGTTCCATATGGACATTTAATCCCAAAAATAGACTCATTTCCATAATATTTTCAAAAACCGACCTGGTTTTAGTCTTGGCGTTGAAATCAGGTCAGTTTTTGTGAAAATCCTTTCGAAACTTCACAGGAGTTAAACTCCCGTGAAGCTTAGTAAAGCTGCTAAACTTCACGGGAGTTCAACTCCCATGAAGTTTCATAGTTCAAACAACTCTCGTGAAGTTTAGCAGCTTTACTAAGCTTTACGAGAGTTCAACTCCTGTGAAATTTCGAAAGTTTTTTCACAAAAACCGACCTGGTTTCAGCGCCAAGGTTGAAACCAGGTCGATTTTTGAAAATATTATGGAAATGGATCTTTTTTTGGGATTAAATGTGGAAAAAGGTCGTTTTTGAAAATTTGTCCTATACTTCGAAGGTGTCACGAAACCCCTTAAGTTTGGTCGATTTCGAGATAATCCCCTAAACTTTAAACCT